ACAGATTTTTAACAAGCGCATAACGTTAACCACATAACGATATTGCGTTTAATTAAAAACAAAAAAAAAAAAAGAAAATCATAACAATAATAATATAGACAATTAAATCTAATTAATGATTCTATTCACAATTCACACATAAATTTTACCTACCCATCAATTATTATGTTCGCACAATCGCAACTTTTGGTCCACTTACCTATACGCAGTGCAGTATATAATAACGACTTTATATCAATTGCGCCGAAAATCACAGGTAATGAAAGAAAAAATTATGGGATGGAAAAAAGATATATAATGTATACTATACATCTATTGCTCCGGTATAATAAGGGTATAATTTATAGGTATAACAGTGCTTAACTTGGGCGGGAACCCATGGGAACTCTGCTCCTATACTAGCTTTTGATTTTAATTAGCGTTCCCATACTACATTTTCTTAAAAAAACACATTGGTACGCAATATAAAATATAAATAACAACAAACATTCGTACGGTTGAATACAAACATTCTTATCTAATTTAAATTTGAATATGCAAATTCAATTTTTACCACAAATTAAGATACATGGGATATATATATATATAAGATATTTTTTTTTTCGATTAATAAGTACACAATCTTTAAAATTAATTTTACCACAAGAATAATATTATTATGGACTTTAGAATAAAATATATATGAAATTTAGTGTTGAAGCATGACTTAAAGCTAAATTTGAAAATGAGGACAGTAAAAATTCAGATGCGACCCAAAATGAAAACGAAAAATATACAGACAAAGTTAATAATTTTTTTGGAAATATTTTGAGTAATTTTTGTACTGGTATATCTAATGAACAATTGAATAATTTTTACATTCTAATAGTATATAATAGTAATTAATGTATACTATATTTTCTATATTAATAGTTCTATATTTTACAAAAGTATTGTTTAAATTAAAAAATGACAGTATAAAAAATGTACCTATGTTTTTTTTATTTTATTTTACTTCAAATTAAAAAGGAAAGAAGAAAGAACTAGTTCCTTTCTCCAAGGCAAGAATGGTAAAGGATTTAGTTCCTTTTTAACAAGAGGAACATGAACGTGAACTAATTCCTTTTTAAAAGGAAATTTCCAAGCACTAACTATATCTATGGAAAAAACTAAGACTTAGCTAAAAATAAATGAAAACAATATCTAAATACGTCGTTCAAAAGTAGATATTTCGTTGAATAACCATAAAATATTTTTGAGAGTCCCTGGTAACTCTCACATGAAAAAACTGTGAAATTTGTATTTTACCTTGTATTTTAACTTTATATTTTATATTGTATTGTACCACGTGTGTCACCGAAACTTCTCACTCCAAAATAAGTATAATAATAATCCCTATATAATCTAGATCACAATGGTCCAATCAGAATATTTTTATCTTGTTTAGTTATAGAATTATAAATTTGGTACGCAAAAGAAGTTTTCAAAAAATTAGCTCGGTATGAAATGCTTTTTCTGTTGAGAAGTACCGGTCATACTCATTCATGGTAGCCAACGTGTTAAAAATATAGGTATATTTTAATTTTATTTTATTTTCATACATATCTATGGGAGGAAAAAATAAAAAACTATTGTGTTAAGTACCTATTTAGAAGCTAGAAAACTAGCAGAAGAAAATTCAGAAGCATCATCTTTTGAAAATTCATATGAAGATACTAGAAAAAAAAATTAAAAAATCCCAAAACATTAAGGAATGATCAATTTTCTAGTCCTCCTAAGCTTGAATTTGATGGTAATAATTTACAATAATGAAAAATTAAATCATAATACTTCTTTTCAATAATTCTAGACCTATAAATAAGTATAAATACTATTATGTACTGCAGAATCTATGAATGAAAACAAGAATGACTCTGACATTGACAAGACGTTTAAGCCATTTAATATCCAGGATTCTCCTAATAGCTCAATAACTGCTAGTCCGACTCATACAATTTGACATGAAAATACAGCAATAGAAGGTTATAATGTGGACAGTTTATCAAAGTACAAAAAAATGAAATTTAATCCCAGTAGCTCTTCTAAAATTGTCTTCGCTGATTCATCATCATTACAGTCCCTGCAAATAGGCTTAACACCTAAGCGTGTAAATACTTTACCAGAAGTACCAATCAAACCTTATGAAAATAATAATGAACAATTGCAAAGTAATAAATAGTTTGTTTTTTTATATTTCTAAATTTTCAATAAATGTTGGTATTTTAATATTGCAATTAATGTTTTAGCATTTTTAAATTTACTTCACGGACATTAACCAACATGAATTATAAAAACGAAGGAATTCAAAAATGCTTGGATATTATAACTACTTTGATCGAAAAAACCAATGAAAAATTAGACAATTCTGTTTTGTTTTCAACAAACCATACACTGAAGAATACTGCAGATTATAACAATGATATTCCTTGTATCAATATTAATGATGAACTAAAAAATGCAGAAGATAATTTAACTGATAATAGACAATACAGAGCCGAATTGGTAATTTTAAAATTATAATTAAATTAAGATTTTTGTCTTATTTATTTTTTTTAGATTGTATCATTAATGCGTCTAATGGGAAATAATGTTTCTGAGACCGTAAGAAGAATAATGCAAAAAAAAATGTTCTGATAAATTCTTGACTGGGTACTCATTTATTGGGTTTACAACAGTTTTCAACACTTCAAAACTGCGCTGTCATATTTAGTAAGCCATAGTATTCATTCTGTTTAAAATCTTAAATAATTTAAGAATCAGAGTAGCCACAAACCTACAAAATTAAGAGAGTTAAAATATTTTATTATACTGAAGATCGAGACTTCTAGCATAATTTAGTTTTCATGTATTATCATATATAATTAGTATTTTATTGTTTTATCTTTATCCATTTAAGAACTTATGTCAGATTATATACATGGTATTTGTGAATAAAAAATTGTCTATCCATACATTTTAAGGTGTAGAGGTACAATAGACAATGTAGTGCCCTCAAACGCAATGGTATTTAATATTAATTATTGACTACATTTTATTGTGTAAATAAAATAAACATTTTTTTTTGACAAAAGTTATATTTCATTATCTGGCTGTATTTCAGTGATAAATTATATTTTTTACCAACATGTTAGTAATATCCTCAAATTGAATTGTAATAAAATTACTTAGGTTAAGTGTGAATCTTAATTCATATATTATAATACTATAGGTGTTAGGTACTTTGGGATATTTTAAGCCAATATAACAAAAGTATAATGAACAGCAATATCTCTACATAATATATAATTTACACACATTAAGCCACTGATAAATAAAAAAATAACTTGAGTTTTACTTTTGACATACATGCATACATTTATTAAATATGTTTATGTTGTCATATTATTATACCTAATAAACTTGCATTATACATTTTTAGAACTCATATACAAAATAAAAAATACAAGGACACCCCAACAATGGACAATGAAAAATCCATCAAAGGTTGGTTGGCTCAGGCACCATCAAGAATTAAAAAACAAGCAGAGAAAACAAATTCTAATAATAATGATTCATCTCAAAAGTTAAGTCAATTTTTAAGTTTTTATATACATTTTAAATTGTATATTGTTATTATAAACATTATATGTATTGATGTATTGATATTAAATGTTCAATAAGTATACACAATGAACACAATAAACTTATTCCTAATTTGAAAACATAAATTTTATATAGTTGTTCAATATTAGGCGCAAAGTCTTAATATAAAAGTATATTATATCTATTATATTCTCAAAACAAATGCATACATTTCTCAAATATTAGCTACGAGACCGTGTCTGTACCCCCCCCCCCCCCCCCCCCCCCCCCCCCCCCGAAATTTCTTCAATATATAAAATAATTATTTATTTTTAATACCAACATAAATGTTTTCAGTCAAAAATGACTTAAGCTCCAAATAATCATTGACTGCTTTTAGATATTTTTATAACGTCTAATAATAATAATCACAGACTTCTAATCAACGCGCGTATTATATAGAAATCTGACGTGATGAGATATCAAAGTAATTTTGTTTATTTGATTTTATTATATTTTAATAAAAGAAGTCTAATAAGTCTTATTTTTAACCAAATATCAAGTCAAAATTTAAATTCAATAAAATTACAATATACATGTTTTGGACAGAATGCTTTCCTAACATTTAACCATTTGATGCAAATATATAGTAGGTACTAATAAGTACTCATAGATAATAATGAAATACACTACGAAATCAAGAGTATTAACATTTTTGAAAAGGTATTCAAGATATATTGTAATTTGTATGTATAAAAGTACCTAATTGTAGTTGTTACTTATTTTCTTTATATCGAATATTATATGTTATACGTATTTCATCGTTTGCAAATAATAATAATTTACCAGGTGCCATGTTAAAAATATGATTTTTTTTCAAATTGTATATACAATTTGATGCTCCCTACGGATATAATATTATACATAGTAAGCCTTGAATATTGTTTATAAATAACTATGTTTTGCTTTTATTTACACGAAATTATTAAATAATATCATTATTTCGCTGTTATTTTAAAATAGAATAATTGTATTTCAGATATTTCTGTCAGATAATAATAGAATAAATAGATCATATCTATCAATTGTCACTTCTTAGTAAATTATATTAAAATTTAACTTTTGGAATTTTGTATGTTGCTACACCACTGTTTTCGTACATTTGGTGCCAATGCAGGTTAGGTATTCAATTACAGTAGAAATTGGTTATAACGAGTTTTAAGAGCCAGCCAGTTTTTCTCGTTATAACCGGTAGCTCGTATGCGGTTAGAACGAGCATTCGTTGTAACCGGTTAAAAGCGGGAAATACAAAAATAAAACTAACGATTTTTTTCATTTTACTTATAATCGAGATTAATACTGAATTTATATACATTGTTAATACATTTATTATTTATCATTATTAATTATTATAATTGGAGACTCAATACTTTATTTATCAATACATATTACTTAAACATAATTATTATAAAACACTTGAATTTAACTTCTTAAAATAATCTTTGATCGAACTTTGCTTCGTAGTGTTTAGTGTTGATCGATATTTCTAACAAAGACAACAATTTTCTTTCAGCATCTGTACTCTCATATTTTGTGTAGTAAAATTTTTCTAGTGTCCACAATGCAGCACGAGCTTCGGATATTGACGGCACAGTTTTAAACTCATCATCAAGCTAATCGATATCAGTATCATTATCTGGCTCAACTTGTTAGCTGACTATGAAATTTTTGACTATATTTTCATCTGTTGAAATTTCTGACGTTATGAAGTCGTCATCAATCTGGACGTAGTCCTCATCGATGTCATTAATTAATCCATTGTCTGCTTGTAGCTATGTAGTATCGGTCGTAACGTCACAAAAACCTGCATGCCGAACGCAATTAGAAATCCCCGTCGATGTTACATTATACCAAGTTTTATTCAAAATTATCATGGCATCCAAAACAGTTATTTTTGATTCTACTTGATTCTCAATATCCTCAATCATTTTGAGTACCAACTGATTCCGGTAAACTAGCATTGAAATAATTATTTTTTCATTTACTTTCTAAGTTTTATTTAATGAATAAAATGATTAAATTAGTTGTTAGTTATTATTAATTGTTAAGCAAATATAAAATATGAGTAAATAATATTTATACTAGTTACTTTTTTAAACTACATGAAGCACATTTTACTAATGAACTCTTATGGGTATTATTTAACAATATTGGTACCTACTACCTGCTACTTACAATTTATGTTTATCTAAACCATAAAATGAGTTAAAAGACTTATGTAAAATCAAACAATAAGATATACCGTATAAAATACATACAATAAAAATATGTTTTAATTGGTGAGGGAGAGGGGTGTCAGAGTTTTGATGATAATAAATATATTATATTGCCCCCCCCCCCTAAATTTTTTCCCAGTTACGGCACTGCTGACATACGTACAACATAAAAAATTTGCGTTCAGTGATTCAAATTTAGTGAAGTTAGCTTTAATATTAGAGTAAACTGACCTATAATCAAACTTTATATGTGTTTTGTTGGTCGACTTTTTCCAATATTAAAATTTTTTAGCGAGTTATAATGTTTTTTTAATTGTTATATTTACATATTCATACACGCTTAAAAATTAAAATATCGGAAAAAACCGACCAACGAAACATAGATAATGTGTTTCCCTTAAAGTTTGATTATAGGTCAGTTTACTCTAATATTTAAGCTTACTTCACTACATTTGAATCACTGAACGCAAATTTGCTATGTTGTACGTATATCAGACAGTGACAATACATGCGGGTGTGACATCCTCTTAAAGTTTGACTATAGATCAGTTTACTTTAATATCAAAGCAAACAACACTACATTTGTACTACAGAATGAAAATATGCTATGTTGTACGTTTTTCAGGCAAGACATACGTGTGAATAAGACTATTCACCGAAATCGTTCCGCCGCTATCCTATTTTTTTTCGTAAAACGTAAATGTGTTTTTTTAATTTTTGTGTAAATATGTCACATGTATAAGGATAATTGTATCAACATTTCAAAATTTTTAGCCGACCAATTTTTTTATTGACGTTTTACGAAAAAAAAATAAATAGGATAGCGACGAAACGAACGCGACGAATAGTCCGGCGGCAAATGAACTAGACCTCTTAATTAACGCGATTGAAGGTAAAATCAGGAATTAAATGCGTTATTTGCTGTTTTTAATATTTGTAACCTGGACCAATAGATGGGTGGTTCTAAGGGGGCTCAACTGGCTGCAAAAATAAATAGGTATATATATTCTGGTACTACAAATGCCAACATTTACATGCATTTGTATGAACTTTTATACAGTATACCTGAGAAAGGGGAACGTTTCAAGTATATGCATATGATTTTATAAAATTCTAGGAGATATGATTTTTTTTTCTACCAACACACTTTCAGTATCTACATGTGTCTATAATTGCTTTAATAAATACATTTATTTATATGATCTCCAAAAAATGGATAACAATTGAAATTGTTGAATAGTTTTTAATGTACCTTACTTATGTATCACTCTTTTTTATGGTATGATTTGGCTTTAAATAATTTCGATAGGGCTAATTTTTTTTTTTATCGTTTTGGTAAATGATTATTACTTTTTAATTTTTACCAATTAAGTGGAGGATAGATAAATATTCGGGAAGCTGGATAAATATTTGGAAGGCTTAGTCCCCATACCTCAATTACACTTATGGAAAATAGTTAATCATTTATTTTACATCACAAATGAAAATGAAATGGTGAATTGATGAATTTTGCAAAAAACTATCAAAATAATTAGTAATTTAATGTTGTATTTCTATTTTTCATTTTGAGTAATAACTTATGAATAATAATAATAGCTGTAGTCAAAATAAGAACTCATATAGGGTACTGTGCTCTATTTCCCTACAATCTTTACTAATACTAAGTGAAATCCTTTGTATGTGAATCACTCATACAGTCATTAAAACCGAATATACAACAGCATTTTACTATTTATTTACACAAATTACAAACTTTGAAATAAATTTTATATTATAATATGTCAATATTTTTCTCTATATTTAGTTATACTTATTTAGAAAGTAGTGAACATAGAAATAGTTGGATCTAATTAATTATCAATTACTTACATAGCAATGAAAATAAATATTCATGGGTACCTACCAAAATTAATTATATTAACTACTGATAAAGGCTAATATATAGCTAATATTTTAAATTGTGACCAAAATTTAATATTTAGTTTTTTTAGAAAATTGTAAAATTTAAAATTTAAATTTTAAATAATATTTAAAATGCATTTTATATAACTTTGTTATAACTGTCACATAATTAGGAGAAGTTTTTTAGCTCCAAATATAATAATTTAAATAGTGTCTACAAATTATATTTTATGAAATTATATAGACTAGTGTATTATCTGTATCATTTTAAAATGTTGATACTATGAGAATTATTATTCTAAAATTGTACTTCATATTTTTGTAAAAACGTCTGTTTAAAATATATTAAAATGCTTTTAATATTTTCTTAGTAAAACATCAACAATTTGCAACAAAAAACTTTACTTTTTGCAAATAAAATCTATTTAGAATTAGTGTTAATTAGTGTAGTTACTATATTATCGTTGAAAATAATTAGTAAATTAAGTTTTATTTTTTTTTATTTTGTTTAATATGAGGTAATTTATGATCTATACAATACGTAAATAAATGGTACCTAATGAATATAATATGAGGTGGTGAAGAAAATAAAGAATATTGAATAAGAGTTTCACACTAGAAACTCCTGGTGATAAAATTAAAAGTTATAACATGTTTTATGTTATTATAACTTTAAGAAAAACTAAATTATATGAAATGTTAATGAATAATGAGAAGTAATAATGAAACTAATGAATAATAAGCAACAAACACTTAGGTATGTGGAAAATAATTTTTTATAATGGCAGATCAATAGCTATCAAGATCTAAGATACAATTTTTTAAAATATAATTACATTTTATTAAAATATTTATCAAGAATTCAATTAAGACCTTTGGTAAATAAACATTTAAATTTTATGTCCTCGTTTTTAATTATTATATGTATGTGTGTGTATATATATATATATTTTGTATATGATTATATTTCTATATTCTATAAGACATTAATATATTCTTAATCACGTTTAGATTTCTTCTTAAAAATTAATCTCCACAATTTTTTTCCTATGTACCACAATATAATAGTAATGACTATTCTCATGATAATCAATAAAAACAAACCGTCTAGTAGCAAAAATTCATACCAAGTTAACTCGCAAGCATTTGTTTTTAAATGATGAGCTCCTTTATGACGTATCACATATTCAATCCAATAAATAGCTTTGTCTAAGGATTTTAAAGGTTGGTCTTGGTAAATCACTGATAGTTCTTTAGCTTTCTCTTTATATCTAATAACATAATTATAATTGAATAATATAATAATGACATAACTGTTAAATACAAATTATAAATTTACAATCATCAGTTTTCAAAAGCTTACGATTTATCATGGAGAGTCTTGTACAAAGCCATTTCAAAAGCATCTTCGGAAAACTCAGAATATTTTATGCGTATCGCAGCACCTCTGTTTTGCATTACCAATGAGTTGTGTAATTGATCTCCAAATACTGAGATGGCCAACATTGGCACTCCATAATATATAGCTTCTTCGGTGCTATGTATACCACCATGTGTAATAAACAGCACACAGTTAGGATGGCCTAGAATATCGGATTGTGGAAACCACTTTCTAATAATTATGTTTGATGGAAAGTCTATTTTGTCATCAGAATCCCATTTGAACAATACTTTTTGTTTGATTTTACCTAGTTGTCTTATAATCATTTCAAATTGATCTTTAGGTAATTGTGATAGTTTAATCACAGAGCCAAAACTGAAATACACAATACCATCAGGAGCATTGTCCATAATATCCTGAAGGTCCTAATAATAATGTAAATGTGTTATGTTACAGTTAATCATAATACAAATTAATTTACTTTCGGGAGTGTAGAAGCTGGTCTGAGATGCATTCCTGCTACATCTATGAATGAAGGAACAAGAGGTCTTGATGTTCCAATAGAAAAATGTGTATTCATCAATGTCAATGATATGTTTTTTAACATGCTCACCATAGACGGCCGTGTCTCCCAGCCAGTATAGTTAAAATATTTATCCATTAATTCACTTTGTTTCGGTAAATAATAAAGTGAACTCAAAGCCGTATACACAAATGATAATGCCGTATTGGTCAAACGTTCCATGAAAGACATATCATCGCTAAATCCAGAATTAACATCTGGAATATAAGATCCAATATATGGATTACCATACCATTGTGCAACACCAGCATTTGGGACAGATGGAAAAATCTGTACCACAGGAGCATTAAATTTGTGACCGATAGTTACAAAACTTTCGTGAAAAAAGTTTTCAAATATAACTAAATCAAAATGAAGACTTTCTGAATGAATTAATTTCAGAACTGATGGTTTGTTGATTGTCATTTCTGTAAACTTTGGCCATATTAACCATGACATAAATGGAATAAAAATTGGTTTGAAATGTTTGGCTACACTGAATGGATTCCAATCTATGAGACAAGATTTATGAATTTTCATATAAATTATACAAGTGTATTTTAACTTATTATTCTACTTACCCATAGCAAGAATTTCATCCTCAACTTGAATGTGATAATAAGATAGTGGTGGATCTTTCAAAGCAAAGGGTGATAAAACAGTCATATTATGGCCTCTGACTGCTAATTCTTTAAGCAATGGTTCAAATCCTCCATAATGACTACGTGCTTTGGTTGGTAGGAAGGCTAATATATTAGCCGATAAACAACTGTTCACCAATATTAGGATGCCGATTGTTAGATTAATATGATTCATCTTAAATATTTCTCATTCAATTGAACTTGAATATTTTTGAATAAAAATACTTATATTTTAACACTAGTACATCAGTATTGAATTAAGTTAATCAAAAGGTGCTGTTATAGTAACAAATATACTGCTTGAATTTATAAATTCTAACATTATATAATCTATGAGCATTTAATGAACTTTTATTGAAAAAATTAAATAATTATAATCTATTGTTATTGTAATCTATTATTAGTTTATGAAGCACTAATTAGCTGTTATGTAACATAATATTTATGAATCATACAATGTGATTCTTTGAGATATGCTATCTATTTTATAATAAAAATATCCAGTTCTGAAGGTCATTTATGGTATATTTTAAGACCTAGTGTAAACACACCTTATGTAACATAATATAAATAATATTTTATTTTAAAAACAATATTGAGATGAAACTTACTGATTCTTATAAAATGAAAAATTGAAATTCCTTACTGGTTGTCAAAAGTTTTTTTTTTTCAAACACAACTAAGAATATAAGTTTTTAATTTTCTTAAACTAGATGTTAAGTATTCAACACAAACATATCACAGTACTGTGAAAACTGAATACATATTTAAATTATCAGGACTCAGAATTGGTAGCATTTGCATATTCATTACTAAATCTTAGAGTAACTCAAATAAAGTATAGTTACATTTTTTATTGAATTATTGAATTTATTTAACATATTTTTTGTACATATAGTATGATTTTAAATTGTCAAATTTAACAATGGTTTTCAGTTTAATAATTTTGAAAAAAAAAAAGTATACTTTATATAGTTGATTTAAATAAAAACAATAATAATCTTCATCACTCTGATCATTGATTAAATAAATTAAATTTAAATTTAAAGTTTTCAGAATTAAGTTTTTCAAATCAGAAAAATCTAGTTTATTGTGGTAAATTAAAAAAAATTATCTAAATATCTCTTGCTTATTCTTTTTTTTTATTATTATCAGTATCTGTATCAGATTCATCAGACTCCATGAAAGTTTTGTACATTTTTTCCAAAATATAATACAAAATAAATATAAATATCAGTATAAAAATGATAAATTCAAAAATGACATCTATTAACATAAACTGAAACCAGTTTAATTGGTTTCCAGCAGTTTTGAGATGATGAGCTCCATTATGACTTATGACATATTCAACCCAATAAACGGCTAAATCTAATGGTTTCATTGGCTGATCATGAAATAGTTTTGACAGTTTTATTGCATTTTCTTTGAACCTCAAAAAAAAAAATTGAAAATGTACTATGAAGTCAAATAGGTAATACAGCAATTAACCATACTTACGATGCATTGTTCAATATTTTGTGTAAGCTATTACGAAAAAGATGTTCAGTAAGATCAGCATACTTAATTCTTAAAGTAGCACCTTTTGATTCCATCATTATTGAGTTATATTGTTGATCTTCAAAAACAGATATAGTTAACATTGGAACACCATAGTAGATTGCTTCTTCAGTATTGAGAATACTATCACTGTGCGGAGTAAAAAGTACACAATTAAGGTGCCCAAGAATATCTTTTTGTGGAAAGCTTTTGTTGACAATAACATTTGATGGTAGTTTTGGTAAATCATTAGACTCCCACTCCCATAAGACATTTTGCTTGATCTGACCTAATTGACGCATAAATACTTTTAATTGATACTTCAGTAATTGAGTAGGAGTAATAACTGATCCAAAACTAATATATACTACACCATCAGTCAAATTATCCATAAGCTCCTGTAATCCCTGCATTAAATTATAATATTTATAAATACATAAGTAGATAATCTAAATTAATACATATTTTGAATTAAAAAATTACTTTTAGCAGTTTTAAAGCTGGCTTTAAATGCATTCCAGCAACTTCTTTAATATTTGGAACAAGTGGTTTAACTGTTCCAATTGTGAAATGTGTGTTAATTAATGATAATGATATGTTTTTTGTCATTTCTTCAATGGATGGTCTATTTTCCCAACCAGTATAATTAAAATACTTGAACATAATTTCATTCTGTTTAGGCATATAAAATATGGAATATAAAATGAATTGTAGAAGTGTACTAAGGAAATTAATTAACCGTGTAACAAAAGACATGTAATTGGTATATCCAGAATTAGGATCTGGTATGAAAGATGGATTAAATGGTTGACTATGCCATTGAGAAAAAAAAGCAATTGGTGGTGTTGAAAATAATTGTATTACATGAGCTCCAAATTTATGGCCTAAAGTTACAAAACAATGTTGATAAATATTATCAAACAAAACAACATCAAAATGATAATTATCTGAATAAATAAATTCTTTGACTTTAGTATTATTCAACGTTTGTAAGATCCTTTGAGGTGCTAAATATAAATTCACAATAAGAATAATGAATGGATTTAAGTATTCAAAATTATGTTTCATTTTAAAATCTGAAAATAAACAAATTATATACAATTCAACATGAACAAATAGAAAAAAAAGTAATTACCAAAATTTTCATCTTCTACTGAAACATCAATGTGATGATAGTTTAGAGGTGGATCTTTAAGCACAAAGGGTGATACAACAGTAACATTATGACCTCTGAAAGCCAGTTCCTCCAAGAGAGGTTAAAAAATATCATAATTATTTGGATAAAAGGTTGGTAAAAAAGCTAATATATTATCTGATTGGTAATATCCAAAATGTAGTAGAAAAACAGCAAACAGCAAACACTTCATCTGTAATAAAATACAAATAATTTCTGATGAATAATTACAATAACATCTTAATGAATTTTCATCTTTTAGTGACAGAAAATAAAATTTTTTTAACCAATTTTAACTAATGTTAGACTAACTGCTAATATAACATATTATTATTAGTAAAGCAATATAAAATAAAAACTTTATTTTCCAAATAATGAAATATGTGATAGTGCGAGTATAAGATAAACTGCATTTTAAATATCTATTTGTTAAAAGTAATGAATTATTTTGAATAGTTTATTTTAATAATTCAAAGAAGTAAGTATGACAAAATGATTTATATATTTAAAATTTTATTTGATATAGTTGCAATCTAATTATATTGGACATTAATATTTTTGTCATAAGGGTCACAATAAATGAAGTACTTACATTTCAATGACAATGATGCAAATACGTACTCAGCGCATTGAATTATGGTTTACTAATGACATATTTTTTACCATGATGAAAATGCGTGATTATAAATTCCATAACTTAAAGACAATTCTGCTGCATACCAAGCTCCTATATTTATTTTACTTGATCTAAGCATTTTGTTTTCTAAACTGTGCATAAAATTGATTACAATTTAAAATTTAAACAGCAATAATAAATTTCGATTTTTTTTAATCAAATGAATAACAAATATTTGAACGTTTCAATAGTTCTATTTTATAAGTACCATACTACCGATCATCATTGATTTAGAAACATTTTAATTTAAAATTATTATTACGCCCATAAAATGATAATGCTATCTATCTTTTAGGTTTCTTATTAGAAGTTAGAAACAGAATCTGCTTAAATATATGATAAGAAAATCATTTTGATTATTAGCGTTCCTATATTCATTCTTTTCGCTCTTTCGGTTTCCAAAACGTGTTGGCTCAATCTTTTTTGACTTGAAATAATTATTTCTTCAGTTAATTTTCCTTAAACATTCGAAAAAGTGAGTTAAACGTTTGTTAAATAATTACTTATTGTACTTGTATATTCTTTCAATAATAAATGTATTTCTATTGTTCCATATCATTACTTAGGTTACTTTATTATTCAAGTAATTAATTTTTTTGTAGCAATGTCGTTGGAAATCTTAGCTCAAGAAAAAGTGTGGCTTGAAAAGGCCAAATATGCTGATGCAGAACGTTTATATTATGAAAAGATGTCTAAGGTAATTTGATACATTGCAAGATATCTACTGATAAGTATTAAACTGTGTATCATAAATTGTACTTGTTTCTTCGTATAATAATCCATCTTTAAACTATAAAGTGGCTATATAATTCATTTTCTTGTTAAATATAAGTATTTATTTCATAATAATAATGGGTTATTTGTTTCAACTATTCTTCTGTGCTGTGTAAGCTTCACTTTAATACTGTTGATATTGAAATATATATGTCGGTATACAATTAAATATCATATTTAATAAAGCCACTTTAGATATTTTATTACTTATGTTAACATTCATAATTTTAGTTGGAATTTAAAATTTTTTGTATTAATAAAACGAAGTTTTAGAATAAAGCGGACAAAACTGCTTTTGGTGGTGCTAAATTGCGTGTTACAACAAAGGCAGTAAGTGCTTGTTTCAAAATGGTTGAAAATTACATTGTTTAGTGTGTGATTTATTGCTTATTATTGATACATAGTATAAAATTTAATAAATACATTGAAATATGTTTGAAATTATAATTACCTAATTCCATTATATACCAATACAGTAAAACTCACTTAATCACATTTAAAGAGATTGATTCAAAAGAGCGTCTTATTCAAGAAATAAAAAAAACCTAGGTGGTTAAAATATAAAGGTTATTTATTTATAATATAGTTCTAAAGAAGAAGGAGGTATCTCTAAATCATCGACAATTTTTTTTGTTTTTATTCGATGCACAATTTTTCAAAATTATGATCTTGTCCAAAATTGATGGTCCCTTAAATTTTACCCTTTTAAAACCAGCCATTACAAAACCACTGCATGAAACTATTGTAGGTACATGTAACAATAAACTGCACAATACTAAATCTCAAATACATCTTATTTATTTTACTTGTTAATATTTATTTATATTTTATCTCATAATATTTCATATAACTATTTTAATAAAATAAAATTTCTACTTTTATTTTTGCTTATTTACCATAGTAATTTGCTGTCATTTGTTGTCATTTGCTGATCCAAAGAGGGTCATATCTGATTAGATAAAGAAATACCAAGCTTTTTAAGTGGTAGTTTTTACATAAACTAATAAAAGAAATTGTCTGAGTACTGAGGAAAAACAACTTCTTACGTAAAAAATAATTTTAAGCAAGTTTTACTGTATTTAAATTCATTTCTTAGATGTTTTTTCATTGGATATTACATTTTAATAATATTTATGTAAAGGCAAATTAAATTATTTACTGTTTAAATTATATAGTTGCATGATTTTTTAAAAACAACTGAATATATCGCATATTACATTAGTACAAAAAAAGAAAAAGCAATTATATTTTGTAAATAAAATAATCTGACATTAACTATATGCTTTGTATAAAAGAGTTTATGTAAATTTAGGAATTCTATAAGTAAATTTATGAAACTTGCTATAGAAAGTTTTTTTTTTTTATTTTTGTTAAGTTATTACTTATAATAATAATAGTTTTTCTTTAAAGTGTTAAATATTAATAAAATATAGTTGCTTTTGCTAAAGTGATTTAAGCTTTCATTTTTTTTTACATTTTTTTTTTTTTTTCATTGTGTACTTCTTAACAATTTTGCTATTTTAAAAAATTATAAACTTATGGTGACTGGGATAACATTACATGTTTATAATTTCTTATTTATACCGTGTGTTGTGATTATTCTTTAAATTTAATTATTTCTTGAGTTTTTAATACAGGTTTTTTAATTGATAAAGACTGATATCTTTATACATTTAAGAATTAATATAATTTCTTCTATATATAATATATGTATAAAAATATAATTTTCTTTATTTAAAACATTTTTAGTAATATAAATGTACTTTTACAGAAAAGTAGTTTTTAAATAGGATTGCTTAACTTTTAAAATAAATTTAATTTAACAGATAATTTATACAAATTTTTGAATTCTTTTTCATTAAAAAAAAATATTTTATACTTCAAACATTTTCTTTGAATACATTATTTAACACATAACTAATTTTACTGTAATACTTAACTAACATTAACTATTAACAAACAAACAAAATATATATATATAAATTAGTAAGTATATATCAAAAGTAGTTTTATATCAAGTATATTTATTTAGTTATATCGAGTTTGTCTAGCTTTTATAGCAAAATTATAGTACCGTTTTTTTACTAGCAATAGAAATAATAGATTAATAATGTTATTCTTACTGGCACCATAATTTATTTAAATTGTTAATATTTGTTTATTAATTGTATTACATATAAAGTAATTGCCCATAATAATCGTATGCTTAAACTAAAACACTTAATTGTTTTTAAAGTTGCTTAAACATTTTCAGTTATAACTAAAATAGTTACAGTGGTGTAGCCACCACGGGTGAAGCAAAGGCGGTAGATGCCTCAAAAATTATTTATTTTCTATAAATATAATATTATTTAGATTTACATCATTGTATACATGTTTATAATTAGAATTATAAAATATCTTGTAAATTAATCTCATAATTTCATAATATGTGCAAATTATTTAATTTGTCAAAAGGAGGTTTAACATATGTTTGAATTAGAACATTTCAGATTGTCGCTACACCACTGAATAGTAAATTATATTTTTGGCTTAAGCAAAATTAAAAAGAAATATAATTACTTTTTAAACTAATAATTTTATTGTATAATATATAGTAGAATATTGGTTTTATTTTAATAGAATACCGGTTGTGAGGCCCCCGGCAAGAAAGTGCTGTTAGCTGAAATTGAAAAAGCTCGTCAAATTTTACACGAAAAAGTTCTCAGTGTAAGACAAACTCGTTCAAAATATATAAATTATTCACACGTGGCTAAACTAACTTCTTATTATATATAAGATTTATAATTTTATACTCATATTATAGTTTCGATTTAAATCTAGCTTTCAAGAGAGATTTTATTCACCTTTTTACTAACCCTTCAAACTCTTTTTACCCAGAAAATTCTTTAACCATTTTAGAATGTTGAATTATTAAGACATATTATTAATAGAAAAAATATTTATAAATATTTGAAAGTAGATATAATGAAAAATATTTATTTTTTAAATGATCCATTTATATATTTTTTGTTGGTTTTTCAACTATTCAAGTATTGGTTTAATTTGGATAAAAAAAAATACTGATTAGGATGATATTATTAATTTATCAATCAGATATATTGAAGAATGAATTATTAATTACAAATAATAGAGATAAAAACACTAATATGATTTAAATATATATATTTTTAATGCGCATAATATAATAATATATATTACATGTGTTTAAACTAATAATTGCAGAATAAATGTTTGGTAATTTCTACTTTAGAATACAGCTTTATTTGAATTGGATATGTAGTATTGGGATTGAGCATATTCAGAAAATAACTTGGATGAAATCTCTATTGAAATCTTATCAATTAATTTGTGTGTTGTTTTGAATATAAAGTAATAGTTTTACATTACTATTTAATCTTTAATTTATTTTCCAGGCTAATGAATATGAATCATCTGCCATCTGTTCAAGAGACAGTGAAAGTTCTGAAACAATTAACGGTAATTGCAAATTTAAGTTGTTTTTTTTGTTTGTTATCAGTTATTAATTTTATACTGAATTTCAGCTATCACTGATTTAAAGAATGCTTTTCAAAAATTAGATGACCGTGTCAGAGTGTTAGAAGGAAAACCACCCAGTGTAAGTATTCAATATTTAAGAATGTCATTGATTGTATGGTTCTTATTAAATATTAAATGAAATCTTTTTATACAACTTAAAAACCTAATAATAATCATTTTTAATAACATTTAACTGTAATTAAGTAATTATAGTTTATACAACTAAATTAGTATAACCATTTAAAGTTTTATATATTAAAAAAATAATTTCCTGTCGGAAATATCTAAATGTTAAGTAAAATAATATTTAAGACTGTTCTCATTTAGAGTAAAGTTTTTATTAGTGTAAATTTAGAAAAATATTAATAATTTGTTAATTTTATTGTACTCTCCTTATATACGTATTTTTGTATTTATGATTTAAAGACTTGGAAAATTTAAAAAAAACAACATTAAAATAAGTTTTGCTTTGAAATATTTTTGCATTAATACTAAAGTAATATAAACTTTAAAATAATATTGATGTTTAATTTCTGTATGAATAAAATAATATATAAGAAATTGTAAAATTATTCATAACTATTTTATTTAAAAACAATAAACATAGTTTCATACATTTATATACCAGGTACATTGGCAAATTAATTTGTACATAACACTACAATTTTTCTATTTCAGAGTTTTTCAAGTAATTCAAGTTCATTAAAACAAGGTAATAATCTAAATTATATTTTATATTTTAAATAAACTTAAATTAATACAAATTTGTTTTTATTTGAAGATATTGAACAATTGCAAAATCTTCTTGGAAAATTGGAAATTCGTGTTGCTACATTAGAATCTAAAAAAGTAACACCTGAAAAAATAGAAATAAAAGAAACTCCCAAAAAAGAAGATGACGATGATGTTGATTTGTTTGGATCAGAATCTGAAGTAAGTATTAAATATTAATTTTATTGTTTATCATATAATCTATTGTATGTTGCCTTCTCATCACCTGGTTTACTGGATAAATATATAATGTAAATTAATATTTTGAGTTTGGTGTTGACACGCAATGGGTCGCATGTTATGCGATTGTTCACTCCGTTATCGCGTTATAATTTAATATGTAATCTATTACGGTCTCCTCTCCGTTGTTCGAGCTTTCATTATTTTTATGGTTTACACCTCTCCGAAAATGTCCAAATCCAAATGGTCGCTGCCATCATCTCCAAATTCACCAATTCAAACAGAACATAAAATATCTAGATCTAGATCTAGTCTCGCCAAATAAATTCGCTGTCCTGGCGAAAGAAGAAAATAACGAAATCAATCTTGACACCTCTTGTATTACTTCAAACATAATCAACGATTCTAGTACTACTAACATTCAACAGGACAACTCCAGGGCTCCACTAATATATGTTAAAAACATTAGCAACTACTCCGCTTTCAAAAATGTGTTAGTACAAATCACCGGCCCAGATGGGTTTACCTGTAAATCTACGTCTTCATTTTTAATCATTCGCCCTCATGGTCGTCTTATGTATAATATAATAGTAAATCATCTAATGGAAACCAATTCTCGTTTTCACACCTTCATGCCCCTAACATATCGATCATCTAAGGTCATAATAAGAAGTCTACACTACACAACACTCATCTCAGATATTTCTGACGCACTCTCAGAAATGGGTCACTCCACCAGACGAATCACAAACATTATCAAAAACAGCAACCCGTGACCGCTGTTTCTCGTGGAACTAAAACTCAACACCAACAACAAAGATATTCAAAATTTGTTCTCAATTTTGCATACCAAAATCAAAGTCGAACTACCCTATAGGACCAACCGTGGTCCTCCCCAGTGTATAAACTACCAGAACTACAGTCACACAACAAACTATTGCCATCATCCTCCACGCTGCGTCAAATGTGGAGGCGACCACTCCACAGACTCTTGCACTTAGGACAAAAACAGTCCAGCCAAATCCGCTCTTTGCATGGGCGATCATACCACCAACTACAGAGGCTGCCCATAATTTAAAGCACTTATCAAACCCAGCAAATAGTTTCATTCAAATCCACAAAATCCGAATACTGTACTCTCGTCTCATCAACCTAAAACTCCCCCTTCTCCCCTTCCCAAAGTTTCTTTCGCCTCCGTTGTCAACTTCAATAATATCCCATTACCTAATAGCCACACTAGTGATATGTCGTTGGCTAAATTTATTTCTGTACTTTCCTCATTAAATAATCCTCTAATTACGCTCCTTACAGCTGTTCTAAACAAACAACTTATTCCATAGTCCATATTACCTCATTAACAATATTACAATAAGTTTAATTTTTGTATACGCAATCTATATCTGTTCATTCTAATTGTTTTCGATCCATTATATATTATTGTACCATGTTTACCTAACCTATTAATATTGTATCTGTTTGATATTATTTGTTATTTTAATTTTTAATTGGATTGTGTTTATCATAATCTACATTCTATTATCTGTATTAACCATACTGTGTTTATATACGAATATGCTCACTTAAATTCTATTTAAATTGTATATTGTAATTGTTGAACTGTAATAGTAATATACTAAAAATTCTAAAAAAAAAAATTAATATTTCTTATAACAATTTATTTCATGGTTATTTTTAGTTTTGTAATTTAATCTAAAATGATAATAATATATGTATAATTTTTTATTATATTTTGTATTTTAATTTTTAACTTTGATTGAAAGTATACAACCTAAACCAAAAGGTATTTATTATATTTTCTTAAATCTGAACTATTAGTTATCTAGATTATCTAACAATATAATAATCTAGAAGAAATTTTAAATATACTTTTAGTTATTCAATAAATGCTTAAATTGTTTGAATACAGAAAAAAATTGTAATATGAATTTCTATTATAACTATTTATAGTAGATGCCCTTTGACTAAACTAAATAATTTTGACATTAATTATTTTAAATAACTGTGATTTAAATTTATTTTTAGGAAGAAAGTGAAGAAGCAGCCAAACTTAAAGAACAAAGGGTTGCTGAATATGCTGCTCGTAAATCCAAAAGTAAACAGTTATTAATTTTTATATTGCCATTCTATGTTTAAATATATTTCTTAACATTTATAGAGCCTACTATTATTGCAAAATCAAACATTATATTGGATGTTAAGCCATGGGATGATGAAACTGACATGAAAGAATTAGAAAAGGCTGTTCGTCAAGTCACTACTGATGGATTATTGTGGGGAGCATGTGAGTTCTTATTTTTTTTTTTTCTACATTTTTTTTATTGTTTCTCCTTTGTTGTACTATATTTATTGTTTTATTATAAACTCTAGTATTTTTTATATAGGTATTTTCACGTTTAAAATTTATGTCAAACAATTCAATAAATGTAGTGATTGTATTTAGATATTTCCTGATTTTTGACTAGATATTTATGTAAAACCAGTAAATTATATTATTATCACAAATTGATTAATATTTTAATTCTTGATTCTAATTCTTAAACTTGTTTGAAAGTAAATTTTAAAATATTCTAGTCAATTAGTATTACTTTTTTTCTTCATGTAAAATAAAATTTTACAGAAAGGTCTCAATGATGTAATGAATTAATTCATTAAAATAATTAAAATATAACAAATTATGCGAATGAAAACAATGTACATATATTTTAATCATAATATCTACTCAATGCTCATATCATTATTATTCATTTCACTAAAATTAATTTCTTTTTTGTTAATTTTAAAGTTATTAACTACAATAGTGAATGTTACTATTTTGTTTTTATGTTATTAAATAATTTTAAAATATACATTTTTAGATTCAAATAAATTTCAAGATGAAAATTACTTTTTTAATTATTACAGTTATAATATATATTATATATTCCAGTTATCTCCCAATTTACATTACTTGTATACTCAAAGTCTATTTATAAATTATGTTTATTATTTCAGCAAAATTGGTTCCGTTAGCTTATGGAATACACAAGCTTCAAATCAGTTGTGTTGTTGAAGATGAAAAAGTGTCAATTGATTGGCTTCAAGAAACATTACAAGAAATTGAAGATTTTGTACGTAATATTATTTAACTAATAGTTGTATTGAAATTATGAATGAGTCTTAATAAGCTATAAAAATGTTTTCTTTTTTTTTTTCAGGTACAAAGTGTTGATATTGCAGCTTTCAACAAAATTTAAGATTCAGAATACCTGTAATCAGCTCCAATTTCATAATTATGAACTTTAAAATTCATCAGTAATATATAATTCTAAAGAAAATTATTTGTTTTTTATATTAGAGTAAATTGTATTGATCTTTTACCTTTTTTCATAAATTCAAACACGTTGAGTTTAATCTATGATAATTGAAATGCATATAAAATGCATATTGTCAAATTTTACACATTTATATGTGAAAAATATTAGAGAAAGGGAAATAATGAACAATAAAATCAATAACTTGAAATACAAATAGGGTTACACCAGAACTTTAATGTTTTGGATAACACCTCTTAACTATTTTGTAAACTGTGCACATATTTTAATATTTAAAAATACTTTTTTGTTTCACATCTTGTTTTAGTAAGTTGCAAAAGTAAAAGCATAAATATATTTCAGTCAAATATATGAATATATCTGAAAAAAACTACAATTTTTTTGGACAAGCTGTTGCATATTAAACTTGCCAACCTAAATGTTTTAATTATGGCATTTATAAAATAACATTATATTGAAATTTCTATGTCCATTTTTCATTATAAATTAACAAATTCAAAAATTAAAAGTTGTTGAAAATTAATTCGATGGGCAACCCCGTGCTCTGCGGCCTTACGACGGGCCATCTATATTTTTGCGGTATCCGCGTCCACAGCGACCACTCGGCGGCACGTTCGCGCTAGCTGAATGGCCACGTGACCGATCCCGCAAAACGGGTTAACGACCGTGCCGAAAGTGCACCTACGGGCGATGTGCGCGGCCAGTACTTCCGGGCACGCGGACACCGTGAAGTGCAGCTTGTCGGCAACAGGTCGTCGCTGAAACCGCCAAGCGGCCGGCTTCACCTGGGGGGGGGGGGGGGGGGGTCACGGTGTCCTTGGGTGGCGATCGGCGGTTTCAACGCGGCGGGCCCGACGGCAAAGTACTGGGAAATATGTAGGTGGAAGCGGTCTCTTCCACTGCAGTCCCTCCGGCCGTCACGACCGTGTCTTCCTCAGGCTCGTCTTCGGCATTGGCACGCATCATATGGTCCTTTACGGTTCTCAGCCAGTGCTTTAATGTTCCAACTTCCCGGGGCGGTGTTAGGTGTTCCATCCCGGTGAACGCTTCCACGGACTCCGGCGGCCGGATTACTAAATTTTTTTGATTTTACTTTATCTAGAAAAATATCTTTATGGAACTTGAGATTTTCTTGATTGAAATCAATCCCATAAAAGGTACTAACATATGTTACTTATTTTTCTTTAACAGTTATACTTTTTTCAAGTCCACATAAATGATTAATTAAATTTTAATGATAATGAGTAGTATAATTTGGTAGGTTCTGGGCTACCCGCCAGCCATCCGCCGCCTGGTCCACCCGTCATAATTTTTTTTTGTTGTCGCCGCAGACCACCTTTCATATTTTTTTTTTTTTCGTATTCCATCGTTTGTATAACCTACCTATAATACCCCCTATTTATTCCACATGCCATTCATATATTTTACATCAACTATAACTCTCCTTTTACTTCCCCTCATTATTTAAATGATAAATTCATTAACATACAATAACACCTCCCTTTTACCACACTAAGTATTTTACCGAAGTAAAATAATAATATATAAGACTACAAATAATATATTATTTAAAATAATTACACACATGACACATACATACATACATATATATTCATATACAAAATTATTTAAAATGTTATTATATAACTATATTATTTAAAGTTATTAACATTGTAACATTTGGTCACCTAATAGTCATTACTAGGAATGTCAATGTCTGCACGTGTAAATGCTAACGATTTATTATTCGATAATAAACAGAAATAAAGGAATCATTAACAAATATAAGCTATTCGTTATTCATATATAATAACTTAAGATAAATATTAATCTATTTGCATGCCAATCGAAACATGTTCAGATATGAGTGGGGAAAATTATTAACTCTTACCACATTTGAAATCGAAATGCACTCATTATATCCTTTAGTCTCCTACTGGTCACATACTCGTATTTATTCGCCTCGTGTTTTCATAGTTTTATTTTGGTTTTACCACTCATCAATAAGTTTTATTTATAGTCATACTCTAGAAATTAAAAAGTTATTTTATTTTCCAAGTGTTAAAAATAATATGACTGGTTCAGTTGTCAACTACATTGCTGCTAGAAGCTAAAGTATATCGCTCCAACACCGCCGAGTCAACTACTCATAGATGCAACTACATTTACCATAGCTTTACTACACGCAAATTCATAAGCACTGGATTAGTACCGACAAATCACTTCAACGTAACCGCACATATTCTAACAGCATCAAGACACGTCTCAATATCATCAGACTTCTTACGGAGAATATATTCATTGATGGGAAATATTTTATCATTTATACTCGAAAAACCCGCAAAATATAAACGGAATATATTTTTGGAAACCGATTGTACACGAGTCTCCAGTATGGTATATAGAGGTGAGAACGTGTTAGTGATAGAAGAAACAAATAAAGACGGTTGCCGCGTATTGCTTAACCGTGCGGATATAATTACTTTACAATATTTGGAATGGGGTATATTTGAGCTAATGGTACGCAAATCATCGATTTATGTTTTTGAATTGCCGTAGTCTTTTCTCCTTTTTTCTCTTCAATCTTTAATATTAATGCCTCGAAATCGGCGTAAATAACAATCAGATATCTCGAAGATTTACTCCACCCATCGAATTCCAACATTGTACCGGGAGCAGACATCATCGGTAAAATAGACTTGAGTGTTCCGCATGTCAAATTATGTTCATTAAGTGCTTCCTGTCCATTCAACTTAAATTTGTGAGGTCTATCATCAAAAGATGTAAAGCATCGTTTACAGAAAATAATACTCTCTTCATGCAAAGTTTTCTGTGATCGGACAAGCCGAGAAAAATTTGAAATATAACAGTAATAACTTTTTTTGCTTTCCGTGATTAATAACAGATCGAAATGTACGGATTTTTCTTCTTCGATAACTTTCAACAAAAAGACTTAGTATGTAGGAAACTTCAGAGGTGGTTGGAATTTTTTTTCAAGTCCGTAAACATTTATACTTTCAAATATTTTTACATTTCTTAATGGTGTCGGAAATGTAAGGCCGGTAAAATCATATTATTCTCATACATGCTACAACTATTATTGACTCAGCGTTTTTTTTCTCCTGTAATATGTTTTGCTATGATAACCCATTTAAAGCATTGTTCATCGATGTTCTGTGGGTTAATTACTGCTTTTTTATTTTCAATGCATAGGGGTAGTGGTAGATACGAGGAACCACCCTTAGGTATGTATTTGTACATATCTAGTAATACGCCATCAATATGGTCCAAGGTAAGCCCACTACCCTTTCCTTGGTATGTATCTTCCTCGCATAATATATTTTCATACATTTCTTTTACACTTGTATCCGTGAAGATCACCTTGGCTGAGGTTTTGAACGCTCTATTCACGGAAGAATTATCTATAAGTGGTTTATTATATGTGGCTTCTAGTTTCAAGTTAAATTTGAGTGGTTTTGATGATGAATTTAAAATGTTGAGTATTTCAAATTTGCATGATTTGAAAAAGATATAATGATTGAAAATATTTTTAAAGTTCTTTTTATAATATCAGGTGATTGTATTATTAAAATATGTTCCTACATCAATAAAACCAACTGCATCACCCACTAAATTTAGTCTGGCTCTCTTTATCTGACCTACATCCTTCGAATCTCCCCGTTTATAATTTTCAGGCCCTACTGAGAAAAAATAACCCCGTTAGATATAAAAACTGTTTCAAACTAAAATTATCCGATTTATATATATAATAAAAAATCTTACCTTCGCAAAAACCGACATTTTCAGTGCCTTCCATCACCAGCACACACAATTCGTTGTCGGAATTAATATATTCATTTGATGGACCGGCAGATATGTCGGGAACAAATATCTCGGAGCGATCTCGTTTTCATTACGTTGAATAATATTAGCTGAAAAATTTTAAATAATTTAAAAATAAAATTATATGTATACAATTATAGATGTTTAATTAAATAATAATTAGATAAATAAATAATAATAATAAATCTCTTGTAAAATTTATGGAATGAAAATTATATTTAATACGCTTTTTAAATATTTAATTCAAATATTCTTGAAAAAAATGAAATAATTATTATACTTGTATTTATTTAATTAAAAATACATACCATGCTTATTCTTCATTGTTTTGTCAAATTATCTTTACGTGCAAAAGTCTTAAGACATATTTCGCATGTAAACTGAACATTGCTATGGATTTTAGTGTATCTAACTAAATGATCTTTGTTAGAGAACATTTTGATACATTTAACGCACTTAAACATTTTCAAGTTGAAGTAAAAACACTGAAAACTAAAAAAAAAAAAACACTAAAATCACTGGAAACTGGTAAGACATTAGGTAGGTGTTGTATGTTACAGGACTGAAGACACCGAACGGGCATAGACTTGCGTGTGACCAGTAGGAGACTAAAGGACACAATGATCGCATTTCGATTTCCAATGTGCCAAGAGCTCATAATTTTTGACGATTTCACTAATTCTAGGAAAAATATGTACAAGCCAATGGGGTGGTAAATCATATTTCTATAATATTATAATAATTCGTATACAATAATTCCGATTTTTCTGATGGTTTGGTATGCATTGAATTCGTTCTCGATCATGTCTACATAAGCATTATATTTAAAGAAAGACTTTAAATATGTGAAAGGTATACTAGTGAAATTGTATATTATATTATATATTTAATATTATAGTATTGTATTAAATTGTAACAATACTAAATACATGACTTTACCAGCATTAGAAGCCTTAAGGTACGGTTTCCTATGTGCAACTGGCCGCATACGACTGAAAGCAACGACTAGTCGCAACTATTGAACGCTGCATGCCGACTAGTTTCCTAAATGCGACTTTACTTTGCGGCTGGTACATAATAGTTCATTTTATTCCATTATTTAGTAGTGTACAGACGTTTTTAGTTTATAACTTTATATTTTAATAATTATTGTCATACCTTACAAATTTTACGAACTGCGATGGAGGAAATTATTATGAACAGTGGCGTAACCAAGGGGGGGTGGGCTAAGGGGGCTCTAGCCCCCCCCCATGGGCCGTGTTTATATGTATAATGTATCTTGACTATTTAATAGAATCAATGGATGCTCGTTTTAATCAAAGGCTTATTGATGTTATGTCACTTGAAGGATTTATTCCAGCCAATTTAAATATGTATGACGATAAAAATATTATAAAAGCTGCTAAAATATATGTCTAAGATCTCCATGATGATACCTCATCTACAATCAGAGCTGACCTATTCATATGGAGTCAAAATACTATTCCAAAACCGAATTCTGCTTTTGATTCACTCTCTCATCGCACCAATCTTCGACCTAACATTAAAATATTTTTACAATTAATGGCCACGTTACCAGTTACCTCTTTCACTCCGGAAAGAACGTTATCAGCACTTAATCGCTTAAAATTTTTTTTAAGAAGCACCATGTCGGAAAACAGACTGAATGGGTTAGCTATGGCTAATATAAATAAAAAAGAGCAATTCGATGAAAGTGAAATAATAACTGAATTTGCCGGAAATTCGCCTAAGATGATGCAGCTGTCAGAGTGGAGCAAGTGACTGAACACTGAAACCAAAATTATTATTATTATTACAAATTATATACTAATAAATATTTTTAAAACTATACTAAAATGCTTGAATTACGTTTAGAAACTTGATGGTAGATGGTGTGGGGAGGTTAAGGGTGAATTCTCATATCCTCTCTTACTTTACTTATCCAAAAAAGTGGTTAGCCCCCCCATTTAAAAATCCTGGCTACGCCACTGATAATGAATAATAATAAAATAATTAGTCTTTTATTTGAGGAGGAAGAAGAAGAAGATGAAATGTATAATCGATTAAAAACTAATAAAAGAAAATCAATAGAGTTTTTTTAGAACTCGAGAAGATGAAGGTTTTTTTGAAATTCTAATAAATGGACATTTACATAGGTAACAGTAAACAGAAATTCCGCGAATTTTCCCGTATAAATTATGACCAGTTTATGTTCATTCTATCGTTGATAAAGGATGATATAAAATTACCTCCATCTAAATGTGTTAAAAAACCAATTCAACCCGACAAAAAGCATACTACTTCCACAACTAAAATTTCGTCCTTGTTTGGCAAAAATGTTAACATTATAGTTTTTGACATTATAATTGTTTAAATAATTATAATAAATCCGTCATAAATTACTTCAAAAATAAACTATTGATCAATACAGCATGCGACTCATCGACAACACTGCTATCGAATCACTACAATTGCAAGCCGCAACGACTATTTTCGACACGCACGCATCAATCGCGCATAAGAAACCACGTTATAGATCAGTAGTTGTGACTAGTCGTTGCGTTCAGTCTTATAAGGCCAGTCGCAGATAGGAAACTGTACCTTTACACGTGCAGTCGCTAACACACCTGGAAATGGCCATGTTACAACTAAATAATACAACAAAATAATTATTTGAATTGATTTCTGATTTCTGATTAAATTTATTCTTCATTTTTTCACTCATACACAGTGCTCGAACCCGCGCAGGGGGACGGAGCTCATCAGCTATTTTTTTTTTTTTTGCGTACCCCAACTATAATTTTTCACCGGAACGGGGAGACGCCACGTTCATCCTAATTGATGTCCAAAATAATTTTTATGTGAATTTCAATTTACGTCAATTGGAAAATGAATTTTACGATTTATAATATCAAAACTATTTTTATAATTTAAGATTATATGGTGGTTATGATAAGGGACAACGTCGTCATTTCTGGAAAAATATAAATAGTAATGTCTATGAATTTGGTATTTTATACTTTATACATTGTACGGTTTGTTATTAATATTGGCGATCGACGATATAATCATTTTGGAAAAAAATAAATGCCCTCACCACGACCTTAGACTAATCTTCTAAGGCCGTGGCCCGCACTAAAGAGTAAAAATAGATAAAAACAAAAACCAAATATATGATACGCCGATATATTATACATCGCAAGACATGTAATATTAATCAATATTATTATTATTATTATTATTATTATTATTTATCAATTCATAATTTATAAGTATAACGCATTTGCAATTCGAGTGCGAGAATCATCGGTTGCCAAATTTTATACAAAAAAGTTTTAGAACGAATATTCATAACATATTAATTAATTCAAGATGTATTAGAAATAAAATAAATAGCTAAAGGTGCTATAATCATAAAAAATAAATTCGTAAGTTTCATGGTAATTATATTTATATAATTTATCACAATAACTATAATAATAAATATCATACTACAACTATTGTAGTATTACTTTTTTTTCGGGAATGCCTGGCCTTATTGGTAATCCTCGATCAACCCTAGAATTGAATATTTTTGGAAGTAATGAATCCATATAAAATCGAGTAACAATGCACTGAAACGTCTGAAACTAAACGTTAGATGTGGCTCCTACAAGTAGTAAGTACTAAGTGTAGACTCAATCCATAGGTAACTGCGGCATAATCGTATAGTATGTATAAAAATTCATTATAGTAAATATACCAAATTATAAATATAGGTAATACAATTTATTTGAATTCACAATAAGATTATATAGGTATCTATATATCGGTTCGCAGGCGGCTGGCGTTGCGCGTCGGCATTTAACGTTTCGGAGAAACAATTAATGGTTCGCACGCACATGCACAAGTCATTGCAAACTCTGAAAGTTAATCAAGTTTGACATAAGAACGTCAACTCCAAATGATCGGATTTCAATTCTGTAAAAAGATTTGAGTTGATCAACCTTTTTTCTAGGTTATTGTGGAAGTCGATTTTAGTATCACTGTTTAACATTCTTAAAGAAGACACTAAAGTAAATCTAAAAATTAAAAAAATATTGATAAACTCAAATAAGATTTAAAGACAATTTTTAAACAAATATCAAAAATCGATTTCCACATTAACCTAGAAAAAAGGTTGATCCACTCAAATTTTTTTACAGAATTTAATTATGATAATTTTAAGTATGCGTAATCTTGTCAGGCTTTTAGGTCTACAACGTGAAATAAATACGCTGCTTCCAATCACCTTAAAACTCATGTTGATCACTTTATATCAATGATAACCATATTATAAAATAATGACTATTATATGTGACCATCACTCCTAATCCCAATTCGGTCGAATATTGATAACATAATGCATATAATTGTATATTTAGGTACTTTTTCTTTGCATTATTAACACTTTTTAAACACATACAAATCCGGGCTCTACTCATAACCCATACGTCGTGGGTAAAAATAGCGTATTGGGTATATACCCGTATACCCTCTAATACACCAATGGGTATTACCCGGTATACTTACCCGTGCCGCCGTAATAATAGCGCGTGCGACGCGAAACGCACCGATCCACACGTCATCGCGAATCCTTACTCCAGCGCTCGCGCTCTCCATCCGCCGTTTGGACGTCCGGAAGCTTTCGCAGTCCGCGTTCGGAACACGTTTTCGCGCCATCAAAAAACCCCCGAGGATCCCGGGCAAACAACGTTGTTTTTGAATTCTCGTCGCGCTACAACACGAATGCGTCTCACGTGCATGACCGTGTTCCGTTGGTGACGCGCCGTTCGTTCGGACTATCCGTTTCGGGTCCGCCATCGCTGCTACCCCGTCACCCGTCCGTCACGAGAGCAACCAGACAGCACCGAGTTTTGCCGGTTTTCGCGCACCGTGTTGGTGTTGTTGACGTTCGCGTGAATCTTCCGCGGGTAAGTGTGTTTTAGCTTTGACTCTTTCACGGTTTGAAAATATTCTACGGCCCCTTATTGCACAACCGTTTCGAAAAAAAAAAAAAAATATTTTTCTCGACTGTTTTATTTTTACAAATGTACCTGTCCGAAAATCGATTTTATTAACACGAAATTAAGAACTTTCTAGGTGGGATTGCGTGAATCCCGTCGTGCAATACACACGAATCTTATATTTTAGCTGCCCATTTTCTACGGTCATTATTCCGTTGGATAACAAATTTTTTTTTTTATTTAATAATTATTAACACGATTAAGTACTATTATGATTTTTGGGACAAAAAAAATTCTTATAAATCAATTACACTTACAAGTAATTCATTTTTATTATAAACATATTTTTCTACACATATGTAAGGTGAAGCATCTACGTAAAGAAAACGGTTTTCTGTCACACTGAAATAATGAACTTTGAAAAATATTTTGTGTACAAGCTGATATCGCGATGTTTGTATGTTATATATATATATATTTATTTATGGTATTTTAACATAAAATAGACAATGAGAGAAAATTTAATACCAAAAGTGGAAAATAGAGTCTTAAACTGGATTTTTTGATTGGAGAGAGATGGACAGTTTATGATTGTTATGATGATAATTGATATTCAGTTTATGTTGGAAGTTACAGTTGAGTAGAGGACAATATGTACTATTGTTGAGTCCCAATTTAAATGAGTGTTGTGGCAGTAGGTTGTGATCAGTGCGTAATCTGGTGTGTTTGGTTATGGTAGCGCTGCTCAGCTTTAGGGATTGAAACCATGATTGAACAGGGATGTTTTTAAATATTGACCTATAACCGAAAGCATAGGACGTTACATATTTTTTTAGTGAATTGTCTGCCCCAATACACCACACAGCCCCTGCCTTTTGCCCTTGTTACTCGTCACTGTCCGCTGATATTACGAAAAAAAAGTTCCTGGATAATAAGTCTCGGAAAAAAGTCCCCAATAAGAAAGTCACACGGAAAAAAAGTTACATTTAATTAAAAATTAAAAAAAAAATTATCTTATTACATATATTATTTTAACATACCTATAAAAATATATTTATTCAGATATAAAAATTTCTTTTTTTATATTTTGATCTAGGTAGTTTTATAAAATTAGGAATATCTGCAGATTTGTCTTCATTAAAATTGTGTTCTGACTCACTCCTTTTATTTATCATTGAATGATTTTCCTAATTGCATTTGTCATGAGGACCTTATTATATGAAACGCTTCTCATCTTTTGATAAATTATTCTGATCTCCATAGTCGGCATCTCCTCTCTACTATATGTCTTACCAACAACATTCCTTTTGTTCTAACATATGTCTTCCAATCCATCCTTGTCTAACATCATCAACTTTTTCCACTGAAAGGGCTTTTTATTATAATTAATTTTTTTTCTTTTATGTATAGGTATAAATGTTTTTTTTCTCTGTCTATATATTCTTTTAATTATTAAGACCAATGTATTTTTTATGTAAGTTTCTTAAAAAAAAAAAAAAAACTGCGTGTAACTGTTAAATTATGTTTATGTCAATAAATTTTCATTTACTACCTACAGATAAGATTTTTCAACCCAATGTATTTTATAATTTAAACAACAAATACAGAGGAAATATTATATTTATACTGCAATGGGAGAATTTTTAACGAGACTTTTTCCATTTACCTTGTCCATTATGTAGTAATACAGTGTATACACATCACATGTACACGTACTAGTTAAAATGTAATAGAAACAATAATAGATACATCAACAAATTAAAATTGAATATCATTATTTTTTACTATTTTCTGAAAATGTAACATTTTAGTGTCCCAACAATTCTTCGGGGGACAATGGGACAAAGATGAAAAATGGGACGTCTGGTATACTTCTATCCAGATTTGATGATCCTAGAGTTGACAAAACTAGCAAAAGTAATTCAAATAATATACCCTCACGAAACCTTCAATATTAATTTATATTGATACAAACATAAAATAATTACACCTCAGACTGTCGTTCACATATCTACATATTCACATGTTCTCATATTCAACACAGACACTCTTTAGTTGCGCTGTTCTGTTTAGATATGAATATAAAATACTACCTCAATTAATTTACTTCATTAATGCATCTATCCTATTATTTAAGTATTATTTGTTAAATAATTTTTAGGGTTACAAATACAACAATATAGTTTATCCTTAATTATAGTAGGTACTGCCCTCGATACTGCCAGTATTTCTTAATATGTTATATTTTTATATATTCTATAAAATAAAAAAAATTTGTATTTAATTATTATTTTGTTTTTCCATGGTTTCATCCATTTTTTATCTCCTCTTTCCATGGTATATTTATGAATCTGGTATTGCTTATTGCCTCGTAAAAGCTATAGGTTACCAGTAGCCATTCCTGATGGTACAACATTCTTTTAGTTTTTAAGTTAAACTTATGTTGGACTGTTTTTTTTTTTTTTTTAATTATGTTTCATATTTTGGAATATATATTTGATTTTAAATTATTTTTCAGATTAAAAATGGGGAAATGTAAATCTATTTCAAGAAATTCTCCGTGTGAAAATTGTTTGATATGTACCAAAGTTACTAAGATGCACGAATTTAATGACATTCATAAACTGTTGGTTGAAGTTGAGATGTGGGATTTAGATATTCCAAATCAATATCATTCTGATAAGTGGAGTTATGAATGTCTTGTATGTAATTTTAAGACCAATACATTTATTGATTGGAAATGTCATATTATGTCTATATCTCATTTAGCAGATAGTCACAGGCTCAAAAATTTGGTTTCACTTGTTGATACTAAGAAAAATAATAAAATGGTTATATATGGAACAAACGATTGTATAAATCAATATAAAAAAAATCATTCTGTAGGAAGCCATTCAACTGGCATACAAGCTCTTATGTCTGAAGTTATGAGAAGATTTTTACTTAAACTTCCTCCATTATATTATTGTTCCCATTGTAAAAAATTTAGTAATGAACCACTTCATACAGATAAGAAATTGGTTGCTAGCCTAAAAGTACCCGTTGAATATTTTTGCAAGTCTTGTAGTGTTTATTTTTATTCTAGTCCTGAAATGATAGACTGTCATTCTTTAACTGTTGAACATTTGACTCTTAAGTGTTATAATCATTTATGTTCTATTGCTAAGATGAATTCTAAAAAAATGAAATTATCAGAATCAGAACAATTGGATCAATCTGAGAAAACTGAGAATTTACCAATAATAGTATTAAATGGATTCATAAAAACTAGTAAAACATTTGGTAAATGTAAATGTTGTGATTCATCAGTCATTTGGAACATGAAATCAATAGTGTCACATTTGTCAATTTGTCAATACCGTAATAATTTGAAAGAATTAAATATTTTTACATCTTCAGTGTCTATTTTTGAGTGTACTATATGCGAGTATTCTACAGAAATTTTTACTGAATTTATGAAGCATATCGTTACACAAAAACATCTTTTAATCTGCTACAAAAATAATTATTATTCCTTTTTTTGTAGAGATTGCAATTCACTTATGTGTAGCTATGCATTTTCAATAATTAGTCATTTGCTAGAAAATCATAAAATTTGGATAGAAAAAGTTCCTACATTATCTAAATTTATGAAAAATGTCTTTAAAGAATTTAATAAAAATCCAAATAAAACTGAAATTGTACATTACCATGGTGATCAAGATTCTAGTGCATTATCAAAAGTCTCATTTCTATGTTCTACTTGCAAAATTAAATTTCATACTTCAATTGATGATTATAATATCCACATGATTACAAGTGAACATATTATTTTAAAACTTATGAGCCCAAATATATCTGTGACTATAAAGGACAATTTTAAAACTACAGTTAAAATTCCAGCTATAAAATCAATAGTTCCATTAAATAAAAAACATGTTTCTATCATTGTTGATAGTAACAAACAGAAAAATAATGCTCTAATAAATAAAAGTAAGTTTTAATCGATCAAATGTTTGAAGTATTCTGAGATATACTTAAAATAATTACTTATATTGATGGTCAAAAGACTAATTGTCATTATCCTCATTTTGGTCAAAAATTGGATTATAATGAAATATTAAATTTCATATAAATTTTTTGAGTTTAACTAATTGTCGTAACCCAATATAATATATAGTTTTACCATGTATAAAGTATCTTGTAAAATTTTGTTCTTATAGATTATGACACTTAGTCTTTTGGCCATCAATATGTACATAAATCTCTATACATCTTCTCTATTAATATTAATCTTTATTTATAAATAATTATAGTTTTTATGAAAGCTTATAAATTTTCATTTTGCATTAATTACAATAATGAATTGACTAAATGAAAGTATATAATTCATTACATCAGTACAGATTTACCTATTATGTTTTCATATTTATTTCTGAATAATTAGTAATTACTTTTTAATAACTGTACATATAATATTATAGTTAAAATGTATATTTAACTAATATTTATTTATTTTGTTTAATATTAGATCCAACAAATTTTGATGATCCACTCCAGGGAAATATTAAAAAATTGCAGGTATCTATGTATTCAATTACATTTTAAATGAGTTGAACAGTAAAATATTGATTTTTTTTATATGTTATTTGTTTTATAATATTAATATTTAATGTTCTATTCAGTATTTAATTTACATTACCTTTTATTCCATGTTAAATTGGATTTTTTCACATATTCTCTAGCTTTACTAATTTAATGTTAAATATATTTATTTCTTTAAGAGTTTTTTCAATACTTTTATATATTATTTTTGGTTTTATTTTTAAAATTTACATATAATTCATTTTTAAGTTAGTAATTTATTTTATGTATCAGAACTTATAGTTTTTTTATTCATTTTAATCTAATTGTTTATTTATTTTACAATTAAATTATAGAAGTTACTACCTGTGAACAATATTCTTCCTGACAAATCAAAAAGTCCAGAATCTAATAACAATATTGAGTTGACACTTAGCCAGAGTCGAAACTCTAATCAGTACACAAAGTATTTTAAACATAAAATTAAGTTATTAAATTTATTGAGACAGTATAAAGATCGTGTATTGAACACTTTATCATACTGTTGTATTGAATGCGATATTATATGTGAAGAAAAACCTATCTGGGACAAACATAATGAAACAAAACATATGAGTCATAGTACTAGGACTACTATATTCTGTTCTACATGCTCTATGTTAATTGTTGGCGAAAACGCTAATGATCATAATGGTACCATGGAACACTGCATTTTGTTGAAATTTATTCAATCATTGAAACCCGTTGAAGAAGATTTAATTCAAAAAACAAAAATTATGGATACTGTTAAAAATTCTACATCTATAAATAAAGAGACAGAAAAGCAACAATTGGAAATGAAAATTGTTGGTAGCACTAAAGGTAATAAAATAAAATTAATAATCTTTTTTAATATTTTGTATTGAATTAGATACATAAACAAGAAATTAATTTGATAAAATGTGTGAATTTAAAGTTATTATTTGTGAACATTTTGGAAGAATTGATTGTTAAATTTGAAATCAAATTAATCAATTAGAATTAAAAACAAAGGTTATATTTGGCTGAAACCTAACTACTCTAGAATTGATTTAAATATAATCAAATTTTTTATTTAATTAATTTATTGATAAATATGAAATAAGTACTTTTTCATTATCAAACTTCAAAAGCTAACCACGGCGTCCAGGAAATACTGATTCTATTATCATACTCTGTGCTGTATGACGGCTGGCAATGGCGGCCTGTAAATACTGATTTTGATATAATGTTATTTTATATATGTCTTTCATCACGAACTATCAGTTCAGTATCTGCCAGTTCCCTGATGGACTATGGCTTGTTTCAACTTCGATATGTTATGTTTGTGTGTAATGACGAAGAAAGTATGATGTGCTTTTTACAATTTTACAATTTTTTTTATATTCATATTTTATTATTTTATTATATTATATTTTTTTACAGTTTATATAATAGGTATGGAATCAGAATTTTTTGGCTGTCGTAGTACGATAAAGGAAAAGTACTTCTAAATATGTCAAAAAGTTAACTTTCTATAGGTTACGACTTTGAGAATCTCATTGGCGGTAGTGCTGCAGTGCCAACATTGCTTTTTTTTTTGTATAGATTCTAGGAATAATGTACAAAGACATTTTTAAATACTAAAAATAATTAAATAATTTTATGTCAACACAATGTTATTTAAAAAAAAAATTAAAATTTGACTTGAAAAAATGTGTTTTCTAATGTTATTATTAGAGCTAGGGACTTAATGCCCTTAAAAACCTTAAAATACGTATGCATTTATGCCTTAAAGAATCAATAAATATACTATAAAAATATGCATTTAAAAAAAATTATATTTGTAATAATTAATTAAATATAAACATTTAATTAGTATTAAATAATAATAATATTTTTAAATATGATGATCTGAGATAATTATTTTATTTTTTTCAAATTTGTTTTCATCTTATATTGAGTTTTTGTCTAAAACAAAAAACTTAAAATGGTTTTAAAAATAAATTAAATTGAAAATATTTTTCTAATTTTAATATAGTTATAATTACTTTGAGCATTACATTGGACTATAAGATATTTTCTTAAGTTGGGAAATTTAAATGACCGCCTGTTATCAGCTAAAATATTTTTATATTTAGAAAAGGAACGTTTTGTAGTTGATCATTCATATCCAACCTTTTTTCTCTAAAATTTTTTCATTAATTGCCTAAGCTTGTGCAGATCCTTCAATTTTTGCAGAATGTACTTTTGTAGTTTTAATTATTTTAATGCATTCAGTTAGTGCACCAAAAAGACACCTTGAGTTCCAAGTCAAGTGATATATGAAGAAATAAATTCATAATTTTTTTTTATAAAATAAAAAAACTTATTCCTTCGTATAAATAATTGTCAAATATGTAAAAATGCAACTATAAATTTGAAATATAAACTTGTATTGCTATGAAAAAAAATTTATATATTAGCTATGTTTTTGATGATTATTTAAAAACATTCAAACTCCTAGAAGTTCTGAGCCCTAGTTATTACTTTATTAAATTAAATTATAATTATTTATTAATTTTATCATTTATTTTTTTAATAGAAGAACTGAATAGAAATTTATTTTTAAATCAAGTAATTGTACTATATTTCTTTGTCTTCATCTGTCTTGTTATAGTGTCTTTATTACATTAATTGTTTTACTTGCTGTGGTGCTTACTGACATGTTTTATGCTATTATTTTATATTATACTAGTCTTGTTGTTTTATATAATTTGTATAGATATAGTTTAACATGAAAAATGCTTTAATTTTTTTTAAAGAACATGTTTTTAAATTATTGAATCTCCAGTTTATTATTTTCAATAAAACAATTTTAGCCTTGTTGCACTGCGTTGTTAATATTGTATTGACATTTTGTAATGTTCACTAATACTTGATGACTTATTATTGGTGACTTTACATGTATAAATAAAATGTGCAACTATTGTTATATGTTTATTAATATATGTTTATTAATATATGATTATATATTATAGTATAATAATATATTGATTCATATAATAATATATGAAATGTTGGTAGTCATAAAATACAAAAAGCATCACTTTTAAACAAGGAAAGTTTAGTTATGAATAACAGGGTTCGATGCCAGTGAAGCGTGTGATCTACCAGCCTGTTTTTGGTGAACGTGATTTGTGAGCCGCTTAGCATTACCCAAAATACACCATGAGGAGGTGGGCTCGCATGTATTTCAAAAATCACAATTTAAAAATCACATTCATATAATATAAATTTTGTTGAATAAATATTTATAATAAAAATTTCGTTTTGGTCGCTATTTATGAATGTAGCACGCATATCATCTAAAAAAAGCAATGAACAAATCTGGTTCACTTTTCCGCCCACCTTCCAAAAATGCAGATCTAAATGTGACTGAAGCATATAGATAGATAGGTATGCCTCTCTTTTTTACCGACAAAACTGGATAGTAATCGGTAGATCATATGTAAGCGGTAGATCACACACTATACTGGCATCCAGAATTCTTAAGCTTATCGATAACTATAAGTAAAGAAAACTTTTTTCCAAGGATGTTACCAAGAGAAGGTTAAATAATATTTAGAATATATATATTTTATTTATTGAGAATTGTTATTATTTGGAAACTAATTCTATTCTAAATATTGTATGACAATTATTATTTTTTGTTGCAGAATGTCAATACCCTGTAAAAAGTATTAAAATCAATGTTGGTAGTCATACAACACAAAAAGCATCACTTTTAAACAAGGAAAGTCTAGTTATGAATAACACCCTACCACCGAAAGATATGAATGATCAAAATAAATATGAGATAAACTCAAGAACTTCTAATGTACTTATTTTCATTTCTTATTATTTATAATTGTTTTCCTTTTTACTGATTTCATTATTTTAGCCAGTAAAACTTAATGAAATTACATCAACTCACAGTTATTCTTTAAGTACATCATCAACTGTGGTATATCAGGAAGATGTTGAAATTAAGAAACACAAAAATATGAATTGTATAGATATAATAAATAAAGATAACTTGACGCATGAAGTGGATAAGGAAATTTTCTGTGAGGTAAGTATGCCTTTGTTTAGCTTATAGTTTATGATTTTTTTTTTCCCCCTCTAACTTATAATTCTATGTATTATGTATTATAATATTATATATGTACATTATCAGGGGCGTCATTTTAACTTTTGAAAGGGTGGGGCAACTGATTAAATTTGCCGACTTAATATTTAAAAATTATGGTTACCTATATATTTAAATATTTAATATTTACAGATGATAAACTATCAATAAAATAGTTTTTTCGGAATAAAATGTAACGATTAATAATAAATAATGGTCATGATGATAAACAAAGAACATGAAACGTTTCAATTTACCCAATGAAATAATAACATTTAAGATAGTAAAACATTAATTTATTTACTTATCCTATAGGCTATAAATTACTTTTTTTTTTTTTTTAATTTGCTATTGTTGGGGACATTACAGCAATACAATTATGTGGTGAAAAGATACAAATTTATAAAAAAAACATACAAATCAAATTAAGAAGTTAGCAGAAATGATAAAATTAATGATGTAATTGATGACATAGGTCGTGCGAGAGTTCAGGATAAGTTTTGAATCAGAAATGAGATAAGCCAAAGTGGATAAGAATGAAAAAAAGGAGATGTCTACTTGGAGAGAGAGAGAGGGACTATAAGTTACTTATCTATAAGTTTAATGGAATAATAATATGAATCTAATGAAATAAATACTTATAATTTTATTATTTGTGTATTTAATACGTATACTTTACAGAACTTATTTATAATAACATAAAATTTTATCTCAAATACAATGTACTGTAGTTTGGGTGAATAGGAATGATTTTAATGGGTTTTTTATAGATTATGTGCTCAATTTTTATGGTATCGGTATCACGAAAACTGTTTTATAAAGTAGAAATGTATAATATATCAAAAATAAAGTTTATAAGGTTCGCTTAATAACAGTTGTCATAAACTGGGGAACCATTGTTCTCCAACTTTAAATAAACCGTGAACGTGTATTTAAAAGAGAACATTATCTGATTTCTGAGTACAAAATAATAAATAAAAATTTACTAATTACCGATTTTAGCATTTGATCATTAGACAAAGAATTGCAGATTTTTTAAAATTTCTTAGACTGGGGCATAGTCCCCCCCCCTCGAAAAAAAAATAGGTGTTCCTGTGTATGATCCCATTTTTAAATTCTTTAAGTTATATGTAATATTTGGAAAATAATTTTAAAAGTGATTATATTTTAAATTACAAGTAAAAGAAATAATGTATTAGTTTCTTCACTAGTGTTCAGAATTTCAGTCCAAAGGATTTTTCCTATGATCACAAGCATGAGAGATTTCTTATAGAAAATGGTGTTTAATTGGTTTTTTAAGGTGTTCATTTTATAAATTCCTCAGTTTTCTTTATAATTGCCAAAAACTGACCTAAAGTTGTAAAAAAAAAAAGTTATAGCAAAAAAATCAAGATTTTGTTTTCATTGTAATTCAAAAAAAATAAATTATCATAGAAACTTAAAATGGTCATTGAATGATTAAATAATAGTTTGCTTTAGAAGATAATATTGTTTTAATTATTTATAGTCCTTTTCATATTTTCTTAGATTTTTTTAAAAATGTTGAAATAATTTTGGTTTTATTTTTTATCTGTAAGAACTTATTTTTTGATATTCATTGCATATGTATTTTATTGCTTTTATATCGTTTGTTTTGATTGATTTGTTTATGTACACATTCAATTAACGTCAAAACAATTAGTGGAATAATTAAATTTAAAGATTCATACATATTAATTAATTACTTATTTCAATTTTGATGACCATCTCATATGCTTGAATGTTATTATTTGAATAATTAATGTTTTTTTTTTTTAGCCACATACTCAAATCAAAACAGAAATATCAGAAGATATAGAACCAGACAATAAAGTTGCATCAATTTCTAGCCTGTCAACTGCGCCATTATTGACCCATGTATCAAATTTTTTTAATACCGAACAGGCTAGTACATTTAATGAAGATAAAGCATATGGTAAATATATTACAATGAGGCTTCAGCACTTCAAGGATGAAACTGTTAAAAAAAATATCATACTTGAGGTACCTAAATAATTTGTTTATTACAATTTAAAATGTTAAAATTATTTTATTTTTTATTTAAAATATTATTAAATAATAATAACCAAATAAAGAATATGTCTAAACTTAAATTTATTTTTAGACATTCAATTTTATTAATAAGAAAGTAGTACCTGAACCAATTGATAATGGAACACCAACGAATGAAGGTCCATTAATAACTTATAGTAACTTATTAAATCCGTCATTGACAAATATGTTAAGTGAAAATGTTGATGGGATTAATCTTCAAGAAGATTTAAATTACGGGAAGTATGTGACACTGAGACTTCGAAACATAAAAAATAAAAAATTAAAACAAGATATTAAACTTGAAATTGATAATATATTTTATGTTAAAATGAGACAATCAGTTATTTAGTTCTTATATTCATTAAATAGATATTTTTATTTTATTTTTTCATTCATATGACAAGATATGTTAACACTTTTAATTTAACTATGTTATAAATTATGATTTTTTTAAACAATAATTATCCAATGATAACAATAAATTATTTATCAAAAGATAGTTTAACAAATTTATTTTATTTTAAAAAAATGTCTCTATTAATAATTGAATAACTACAATTGGAATATTTATGTATTAATAATTTACACAGTAACAAAATATATTTTAACTTATTATTTTAATTTATTTTTTAATCTGTTACCAATCTAATGACTCTCAAACATCATATCTAGGACTCTTAAAAATCATCATCAAACTGATGCCATCTATAATGACTTTGAAAAAGCATTTAATAGATTTACTTATCTATAAAATTTAAAAATATTGAATTCGCTTACTTCTTATCCTAGAATGATTCTTTTATATCTCAAAGAACCCAATATGTTCACTTTAAAAACTATATCTATTTCTATACTTGTTACTTCTGGAGTTCCCCAAGGTGACCATCCCTCTCCACTTATCTTTAACTTATTTATTACTGACGCCATTTCTGCTATCACTCATTCTAATATTATTTTATTTGCTGATGTGAAAATTTTTAAATCCATTTCATCTGTGGAAGATTGTATACTGCTACAAAAGGATTAAATTAATTTCATTAAATGGTGCACCTTAAATAATCCTTCTCTAAATATTAACAAATGTCAGGTTATCTCTTTAAAAAACACAATTCAATTAATTTAAATTACTATATATCTAATATAAATCTACTTCGTTCATCTTTAGTCAATGATTTAGATGTACTATTTGATTCACATTTACTTTTCGAAAACCACATACTAACAATCCAAATCAAAGCTCTTTTTTTATTTGGTATGATTAAATGTAATTGTTCAGAATTTAATGATCCTTTCACCCAGTGCTATAGTCCTAAAAAAGGCAGAGGGTATACTATGAGTTATAATATTAAACATTTATACTATCATTAGGTATCATATCAAGTAGCTAAAACGTATAATCGTCTTTCCTTTTTCTTTCTAATAAACTTCCCGTTTTTAACCAACTATCCATATTATAACTGCTTATTAAAATAGATTTGCAAATAAAATAAACGCGTACCTTTTTATTGATCGACTGGACATAACTAATATACAGCTATGATATACGAATCACTGTCAACGGCAAAATGAAAAATGAACGAATGCGTACACTACACAGTATTATGCGACGGCTGAACATTTTATTTTTATCTTAAATACAGATATTATACAGTTATTTGATTGTTATATTATCTAATCTACAGTACATGCCCGTCAATCGCCCAATATATATAATTTCACTACAACAGAATATACGACCTTAATCTGAAGATATACGGAGTTTATTAGAAATAACCAGAAAGTATACGGCGTATACCGCCGTATACTCTCCACTACAGCACTGCTTTCATTTACAAATGCCCCTATACTTCTCTTGTCTGTTCATTACTAGAATATGCACCAATAATATGAGAAAAAAATATTATTGGTCATAATAACTAACTTGAAAAATTAAAAATAGTCCTTCAATTTATTTGCTACAAACACAATATAGATATAACTCCCCACTATGGTTATGAAAACATCATCGATTTATTAAAACTTGATTCTCTTCAAATATGTAGAATTACTGCATATAAATTTTTTCTTTTTATACTATTAAATTATGAAATTGATGACTTTTTATCAAGCCAAATTAACTTTAAAGTCTCTCATCACAACACTCGTAATAATAGTTTATTTTATATTCACCAATTTTCACAAAACTATATGTTTAATCATCCAATAAATATTTTAATGTTCCATGGCAATACATTTGAATCCCGTTTTATTTAAGTAAATAATTCCCCTATTTATAATTAATTAGTATTCCATAGTTCATATTATCCACACTATATATATATTTGTATGTATGTGTATCTATTTTATAATCTAGTTCCCGAGCTTATTAATGTATTTGTTATCTATATTTACTATATTTGTAAGAGGATGTTTGTCCGTCAAAAATTATAATAAATAAATAAATAAACTAAATTAAAATAATCATAATACTCAATCCCAATCAAGGCGCACTTTCTCATTTAGGAGTTGGACATTTATTCAATTAAACACAGCCTAAAGTTTTTGTAAATCAAAATCATTGTACACATCTTAACTGCTAAAATCAATTGTTTTCATTTTCTTTTTCAGTAAATCAATAGCAGAATAGTAATAAATAATAATCATACTCATAAAAAAATTATCGACTTGTAATATTGAACAATAGTTGCTACTTTAAAGAATATTAAAATACTGAGTGCCAATATTAACTCGTGTAACTTGTTTAGGTTGTGTATTACTCTGGTGTTAAACATGGATTGTGAACATTTGCAGTAAAATATCAAAGAGAAAAATAATTACTGGAACAATGCTAAAAAGTTCATAATAAGTGTTATAAAATTATACATTGACGAAATCAAATATTTAAGCAAATTTTTATTAAGATTAAATTAAACGACGTTAGTTGTTTAGTTATTCTTTAAATAATAATCTTAGAAATTCATGTACTTAGTACTTATTATTATTAGTACTTAATACTTATTTACAACATTAACCAATTATAATTAGGATTTTAAAAGTATTTTATGATTTCGAAATATTTTAATGTCATTTTTGCTATATAGGTACTTGAAGTTTTTGATTCTTTTTTTTTTTCAGTCATTTTTTTTCTAAGTCATCGTTTAAAGTTCAATCTGCCTTATTTAAGTTTTAAGCCTGAAATACTAATATAACAATTTTATTCTCCCATCCCTGTATCTCACTCAACTAGGAGTTCAGTCCATTTTAACATTTGATTTTGTTTGCAGATAGTATGTCCACACTCGCAGCAATATTCTTAATGTGTTACTCAGACAATCGTACATTTTTTGTAGCCATCATTCAATAAAATTTTTTTTAACGTGTATTAGTACGGTTTTTTGACACTTGATCGTATTCTTCAGTTGCCCAATACATAGTGCCTGTACTAATACTACTACTCTTTTCTTAAAATTGAGTATATAAAAATAAACAGATCTAGTGATGATAAAATAGAAATAGATCTTTTGATAAAACTAAAACGAAAATGAAAAAATTGTATTCAATTAGCAGATGCTTTTTGAGGGAGTTGGTAAATTGGGTCCTAAATAACCTTTTCTCGATAAATTGGCTCCTGGGAAAATAAAGGCAGTAGGTAAGTTGGGTCCCTGGAAAAGAAAGGTAGTTTGTAAGTTGGGTCTCGGGGAAAAAAAGATAGTAAGAAACAAGGCCGTAACTTGGGGGGTCCAGGAATCCGGACCCCCGCCCCCGAAATTTTCAAAAGTAGAAACGTTTTAGCGGTGAATATAGTTTATTAACTATAAATTGTATTAAATAATAATGTTAGACCCCCCGAAATTTTTTCCAGTTACGGCCTTGGTAGGTAAGTAAGTTGAGTCCCGGAAAAAAAAGGTAGTAGATGAAGTCCAAGGTAAACAATTATTTTTTAAATATCTAATAATTTTTGTTAGAAGTCAATTTTAATGCTTTAAATAATGCATTAATACTTAAAAGATACGAATATAACACACTCAAATCGACGTACGCAATGTACGCTACAAAAAATAGATATAGTGAAAATGCTCAGATTTCGTAATCATAAGAACTATCATCAATATTGTTGTTAACTGATAACTGACACACGATATACGACAAACTAATGTACGTATAAGCCTATATACGTATCTCAATTAGACATAATCAAAGTTACGATGTTACGAAGTTATTTAATCACAATGGAATCGATAACCGATAGAAACGGTGTAAATTGTCATTTGTAATATTGTTGTAAGCGAGTAGTATTTAGTATATGTATATGTATATTATTATTATTATTATTATTATTATTATTATTATTATTATTATTACTATTATTATGAATATAAAAGTAATATGTACGGGTAGGCATTAATCCTTTATGTGGGGAGTAATGCAAGTAAGCATTTTTGGAATTGACCGGACGCCTCTCGTCATCCGTGTTGTCAGTCGTGTAACAACCAAGCAATTGTAAAATCGTTCTTTCTATATTATAATTTTCAGCGACTCAATAAAATAAATACTTTTAATAAAATTGTTGAATTGATAACTTCCTCGTGGTGTTTTTTTTCTAAAGTGCGTACTTAAAAAACGTTACTGTAGTGCCGACGGACTCTACCGAGTTTACCCGATCTGGCATACAACAAAATGACTACGGCGAGGTAGTATAGTTAGTAGTTGGGACTCAATTTACCTACTATCTTTTTATCCCCGGGACCCAACTTACCTAATATCTTTTTTTTCCCAGGACTCAATTTACCGCTTTCATAATGTACATCGCGGACTCAATTTACCTAGCCCCCTTTTTGAGTGGTAGCCTCCCAATTCATATGATACCTGCGTATCGTTAACATGTTTTGAAATTTTTCATGTACCAGTTACCACTACCGTTGTGCTACCCCTACCTTCTCAATGGCGTCGTCGATCGTGAACGGTATTATTTATTATTAGTGCTGATATGTGCGAAATAATTACATTTTTTTTTCACTAATTAGTGTTATTTTTTTTTTTCCAATTCTTACGGCCACCCGATGAATGAACAATAAAAACGCAAGCGAACGTTTAGAAATTCAGACGAGTCACGAAAAGTTGGTAGCACGAGATGGCGGTTAGTAATGGTCATAAAATTATTGTAACTTGGTGATTCGGAATGTAAACTCTGATTGAAATAATTGTTGTGGAATAATAAGCCGTTAGAGATATAACATTTTGGTATTAGATAAAACGCGTTTGATATTGGAAAAGTATTATATTATTATAAAACCGATAATAAAATACGTGGCGGTATGCTTGAATATCTCAGTTGATGCTGATGTGCCTATAACTTTTTTTTTGTTTTTCAGTTTTGAATTGACGGCCCCACGGGTAGACTTTCGTATTACTTCCGTGG